TTACGGACAATATCCTTTACTCCCCATGCCACTATCAACAATCATTTCCTACAAATGTGGCGGCGATCGAGTGTGGGTTCGCTGAAAAGCAGGCTACTTGCATGCCTTCTTTTTTTGTGGCCGTTTCCTCAATAACGAAAACCTTGTACAACCTCAAGTTTTGTCCCAAGTTCACGGTTATTATACGTTCACGATGTATTTATGCAAGTCCCGCACAAGAAGTTGGATACCATCAGTCCTCCCAATTCTCTGTCCCCGCCAGGTCGATGTACAAATAGTGGTCGCGATCGATCTCCTTTCGGAGGATTATTTTCACTGGCGTTCCCCTAATTTGTAGGTTTCTCCAGTCCTCTACTGCGTCATAGCATAGAAGTCGTACTCCTAGCGTGGTTTGTAAGAGGCGAAGGATTAATACAGCTGCTGCCGATAAAACCCTAGACTTGCCAGCCAGGTATTCTCTGATCGTAGCCTCGGCCCTCCTTCTTTGCTCCTAAATGGTACGTTGAGCGCTTCAGTGTAGTTGAGGGCGCACGAGGATGCACTCGGAAACACGTTGTTCCACTGCTTCTACTGAAGCAGGTGTGACAGACTCCTCTGCATCTCTTTTCTAGCTTGAAAACCGTCAGTTACTTTATCGATGATCTCGCCGTCAATTAGTTGCGCGAATACCAATTTGACCTGCCGAAAGAATGTAGTCCAATCTGATACTTAGTCCTTTTAAGTATTTTCCTGATCAAGGCTTCCCCTTAAGTCATAGATGCATTCAATTTACACGAAAACCTCTGGTCCTGGGTGATGGGCTTGGTTTGATCTTTACTCATAAGTAAAAAAGAGACCAGCATCTCTCAAATTTCCTCCAGTCATCTCTATCTTTCAGCCATGTGGAGCTGGCTTAAATAGCTTTTTGAGCTCTTCAATAGTTGCTTCTCGCAGACGCAGGTCCGTTCAAAATCTGCAGGTGTTCCCATGCTCACTTCATTGACTTCTGATTTTATTGTCATTTCCAGAATTGTGTTTGAGGGTCGGCTCTTTCTGCAAAGTTGTAGTTCTATATGTTCGTCAAAAAGTGAGTATAGTATCTGCCAAACATTGTACCGAAACTGAACTCTGCAGTCATCCCCTTAATTGGAACATTTTTCTTGAATGTCTTTCTCTTAGGACTAAGGGTATCGAAATCCATATTCTCTTTGAGGTGAAGATAGTCAAGTCAATATCAACAATGTTGTTTCGCCTTTGATGTTTGGCTGAGTTGAACCCAACAAAAATTTCCTGTGATCAGTACCCTCTGATTTGGAATTTTCCGTGATGTCGTTTTTATCTCGAATCGTTCTTTTAACATTTTAAAACCCACAAATGGCGGAAGCCATCCCACGCTGTACATAGACACACGTAGCCTTGCTCAAAATATTCATCATTTTCCTTGGATGATGAAAGCATGGTTCCTGTGTCCCTCATTATTTGCAATCACAACTCAAGTCGCTGGAACCAATTTAAACCGAAATGGCGTGCCCTTCCGTAGCTAGCCACAGTGATGAACTGATTTTTCCAAAATGACCTATATTGAATATTATCAGAGGCTTTCACACGACCACGAGCATGTTGTCTTTTTGCCAAAAAAACCAAACAGCATTGACATGAGTATGCCCACGGGAAGTTCAACTCCGCAGCTATAGCATAATCGCATTTCCATAACAGCGTCCTAAAGCTTGAGTGTAAGCTAGACGAGCCTGTTTTTGCGGATCGACACGAAGAGCATCAATTATTTTGAAGTACGTCGGTGAGAATAAACATCATCGAAGCCAAGTTCAGGTAACGTGAAGATGACTATTTCATCCGGAAGTAAAATAAATTCATGGCCTAAGATCACTCTTGCGCAAGCCTACTACCCGTAAGTAGAATTTTTTGTTGGGATGGAAAGCCCAGGTCACGGTATGCTGCGTATCTGATGTTCTGGGCCGATTCCCAAACCCGGTATTTTACCTGGCGCCTGTGGGACTGAATTTCGAATGACTTCAGCTTGTTGATTCATACAGAATCCTCTTCAGGAAAGCTCCAGCCAAGTTCTTCAGATCCTCGCAGTGAGTGACGTTGTAGCCCTACGGGCTTTTGTATCGTCAACGATTTCAATGGTTTCATAGCATCTGAATCTTTTTGAAATGGACTTAATGGCTCGGAATTTCCGCCTGGTATCCTCCTTCCCATAGATGCAAGGCTTCAATTCTTCATCCCAACGTCCACTGGACCTAGGGGTAATCTAGGGGCGTCGTTTTGATATGGTGCGGCGCTGGGAGTTCTTCCGAAATGAAAACATGGAGCGTCGACTGGACGTGACTTGTCGTATGTCGCTGTGAATTAAGCGCATTGCATCTAATTCACTATCTGATCGAGATTCTTTTTGTTTTGTTAGACCTAATTCAAAATTTTTCTCTCCTTTGTATGTAGTGGTGTCGACGGTAAAGTTGTTCCAATTCTCGATTGTAGTATTTTCACCTAAAATGTGTGCCGCGGCGACTGTACCGTCGCATTCAAAATGTCCGGCAGGATTAATTGATGATATTTGCTTCTATACACTCCTTCAAACAGCAGAGCTCTGTGTTGAAGCTCCGCGGGGTGCATGATAGATCCCGGAGGTGAAATCGAGATTATATGCAATCTCTTGCAACCTCTTTACCGCAATGGACCACAAGTGCATTCCACGAGATGCAAATGCCTCCTTAGGCTCAGCTCCAAGCTCACAAGCCCCACCACAAAGATCGGCTTGTGTGTGTCCGATATGAAGCTGGATTCGTATTTTTGCTTCTCAAAGCAGTGAAATACTCGCCAACATCCGTCGTCAACACTAACTTGAGACGATAAGCAAAATTAGCTCCAGCTCCAGAGAATAGAGAGAGCTTAGTCGCATGCAACTGATATCGACTGGAAGCATGGTCCAAGAACGAGATGCTAAGGGTCCACTGCTTAGAGATATTGCTAGTTAGTCATTGACGGCCAGGTATGGTTTTAAAAGACAATGACTAAATTACTTACGGACACATATTACTGGTGAAGAAATTTCCGGTTTCTTCAAGGTAGCAGTGAAATCAGCGGGATATATTCGACTCCTGTTTGCATAGCCTAGTCGCTCAATCCATCTATGAGCTCGTGCCTCTGTTTTGGGTGGAGGCACTCGTCCGGCTATCCTTTACATAGGGCAACAGACCCACAAGTGTATTCGGCATCTGGTCCTTCTCTTCCAGTTATTTATGTGGAAGTTCGATATGGAGGTTGGAGAATAGAAGCATCCGCACACCTTGCTCCACAGGAGCTACATATCCAGTTGAGCCGTCTTAGACTCTACTTTCTCTTCTTCCTTCCGCAATGCTTAATTGTCATCAGACTCATAATTACTCCCTCATCATATGGCCATGACATGACTGCCTAAACAGGTCAAAGGGTAGTACTACTCGCCTTTAGCTGTTCATTACCACGCCAGCCAGTGCTGCAGCAGCTAATGAAAACGTTGACATGGCATATAACAGAAGCCATGAAATTACGCATCATGGAATGCCAGTTGCTCAACAAGAGTTTGCCGTAGCAGTTATCTCATCATGGAAGTTGGGTGAACTATTCCTTCATGGCGGGGTGTTAATGTTGTCTTAGCTGTCTGTTTATACCACCTTCCGAAGCTTCTTCTCTTCTCTAATGGCAACTTTCGATGAGTTTGCCACAGCTTAACCAGATTTTATGCACGAGGCTGACCTGCATCAATCCTTGAAAAAAGATCCACTGTATTGCGTCCAGCAGGTCCAGGAACACATGGATCGGAGAGCATGGTCGGTAAAACCAGATATGAGATAATATGCAGGTAGGTCCAGCATCAGCTAAATATTTTCCTCTAGTCATCTTTCGTAGGAAATTAGGTCCTATTCCAACACTTGTTAGCATCGGCACGCAGTAGATTTGAGATGTTCATTACTCACCACTGTACTCCACAGCCATGACTCGACTATCGACTAAGAGATGATTTTTGACAGTACACTATGAGTGGCAGATTTGGGATATGTTTGCTTCGCCTGCCTGAGATGGCTGTCTTGTCTCAAATACAGAACTGGTCCTTTCATTCATCGATGTTGAGCCCGCAGCTCATCACATGTCTAATGAAATCTCCTACCGGTCCTTATTTGCGACTGAGCTCTGGAAGGATAAGGCAAGGAGTAGCTGAAGAAAAGAAGACCTTGTCGTAATGAGAATGAATGGAATCTTATCATAATCGCACATTATCTTCTCCAAAGTTGAGTTTGGTCGGAATCGTGGTTGGGAGCAACTGGCCGACGATATGAGGTTAATCCTTGAGCTCATAGCATGACGTGATTTACAAAAGCCCACAAATTGGGAAACACGAACTGCACCGCAAGAACACTACTCGAGCCAGAATAGGAACAGCTGGCGCATTCCAAGAAGATGGTTCCTCCATGGCAAAAACTCTGAAATACGCTAGCTTCTCATGTTACTATCGACAGTATTCAAAGAACTAGAACGCATATCTTGACGGACGAGAGAAAAACGAAGGTTACGAAACGAAATGATATCAAGCAAGGCTAAGACTTACCACTAATTACACTTGTCCACTACTATTGAGTTCTCATAGGACCCTATGATCGTGGTGACAATTCGTAAATGGATGAGAAAATCATTGCCATCATGGCAGCGAAGCAAAGAAGATAGTTCATGAAAATAAGTTGACACGATGTCAAAAGTTGATAAAAGTTGGCGATATATAGCGAAACCACTCTACACAGAAGAGAAATGAGTGAGGATGAGGGAAGGAAAGATGAGTCGAGACAGAAAAGGCGTATATATTTTCCATGTTCAAAAGCGCTGTCAAAAAGGAAGAGAAAAATGTTTTACACCTTGTGGACGCTGGTCTCTGCAGCACGCCTCACCAATTTGTTTGCAAATGACATCGAATTGCATGTAAGTGGAGATCACAGAATTTGACACGCAAAAATACCTTAAAAGGATTAAATGCTTTCTGCTGCCTGCCTCGCCAAATTTTTCGTCGACGCCAACGACTTACCGTCTAACGGGACATTACAGCATTTGGCACAGAACAAACGTACCACAGTTCAATGGCTCGATAGTTCGTGACATGTATTAATGACAACACTCCAAAATCATGCACATATCGGATCGGCGGAAAGGTACGTTTCCGAAAGTAGCGTGCATTAAAGGAGTTTCAAAACATAAACGAAGTTTCCGTCACCTCCGCATACACAACCAGAATTATGAACAAACGAAATAAATCCCCTCATGGTATCATCAATCTATTCCCCATCTAGCTAGGTAAAGTACACGCGCGTATGTCTTACAGAATCAACCGCCCTGGCTCCTTCTCCAAGACAAGCTTAAATCTCTGCATGAAAACTGATGCAGTCTCCATATCAGTTTCTGGGATTATTACCCAAAACTCGTTTTCTTCAACCGGCTCCAATTTTGGTACCGAGCGTTGAAGAGGTGCCTTTTTCGTGACGCCAGATAAGAGATCGTAAATATCGACCTCGTTGTTCTGTTTGGATGATGGTGAAGCCTGGATAATTTGGCGAAATGCGACGCCGCTCTCAGGTATGAAGTTCCCTCTAACGCCATTCACCGGATTAACTTTGTCAAGTCCGAGGACAGAATCGAAGAGTTCATCTGGTGTTGGTTTGTAGTTCTTTGGGCGGGGGAGGTCATCATTAGCGACATCTGCTGCGCGCTCGATGAATGTTGAGAGAGGGATATGTACGCCAAGTGTAGATTGTATCCTCTGTTGGACCTCCAAGGCTGCCTTCATAGAGATTGTATGGGCTACACGATGGAATGTGATTGGTTTTGGTGCTGGTGCCTCCTTCTTGGCAGGTTTAACTGCTTTGGGAGGGGCAATCTTGATATTGCTTAGGTCGAGGTGGGAGAGTTTTGCAATCTTTTGCGAAAGTTCGGTGGGATATGAGGAAGATATTGAGCCCAGATATGCTAGAACATCTCCTTTCAATAGGCGATTATTAGGTCCACTGGGAATCATCTTTTCAATATCAGATGCATTTAATCCACGTTCATGAATCAAATGTTCAACTGAAGGAAGTAGAGGATATGTTTGTTTCTTTGCTTTTCCAGAAGACTTCTTCGCGGGAGCAGCAGTCTCTGCGGAAGGCTTCGAGGTAGGAGGAGCTTCGGCTTGCGATTCCGAGGACTTTGCCGGGTCTGGCTTTGAAGCCTCTTCTTTTGGCGATGGAGGGGCAGCACTATCTTCAGCTGGTATCTCCAATGAACTCAAATCATCTCCGGGTTCGGCAAGAACACCAATTCTCGTGCCAACTTTAATTCCCTTGCTACCATCTCCCATTGTAATTTTTGCCATGATACCATCATCCTGAGCTTCCACATCCATTGAAGCCTTGTCCGTTTCGATCTCGAGTAAGACATCACCGGCCGAAAACGAATCCCCTTCCTTAACATTCCACTTTGCGATATTTCCTTCTGTCATTGTAGGAGAAAGCGCCGGCATGGTAAAGTTCTGAGCAGCTAGACATGCCGCAGAAGTCTTGAGTCCTATCCTCATCAAATATTAATGTCCCATCCTCAACCCAAAATTTCTCGGAAGTAAATACTAACCTCTAGCTGTCGCATCCTGTCGCAATCCCCTAGCAGTAAGTCTAGCTGATACACGACAAGCTGTCGCAAAAGATGCCATATCGACCTTCGCAAATACGAAACTCAATTGGAAGTTTATGAATTAATAGGTGAAGACGAAGATATTCTCGAGATGTTGAGATCAACAAATGGGATATTTCGGGAGGGTATCACGCTAGGTCAATTGACAGGGATGAATAATTTCACCGAACCTCCGATCCATTAATTTTTCCCGTCCCGAACTTGAAGGATTTGGGTCCCGATTCCATTTGATGAGCTCAGGGCATGGTATGTTTTATTTGAAGTTGTATATTTGCGGTATTGATAGGTAATTGCTAGTACTTTCCAGATGTCCGCATTTTCAAGGGGGTGTATGAAATTACATTCCATGAGCTTAAACTCATCCCGAACCTTCCTCTTCACAACCCAAAAGTCATGTCCAAATCTTCGATTCTTTACCTCGACATCATTATGTCGCTCCACAGCGAGGAAGCCAATGGCACTGCCAACATTGAAGGCAAAGTCAAAACCAAAGCCTCAGCAAAAACCTCAGCTTAATGTCAAACTGAAGGTCGCAACACAAATCCAGCCTCCTGCATTACTTGCCGCAGAACCACCATTGCGCTCTCCAAAACCCCTCAATTATCACAGTTATGCCGATATCTTGGCTGCAAAACCACATACCACAATCCTCTACCAAGCACCATCACATACCGGATACATAGTAACCTCTTACTTAGCTGGAACCTTTCTCCTTGGGTTCGCCGGACTCACTTGTACGTTTTCCTAATCCATTGGGACCCGACATTTACCCCTCCAGAAGCCCCCGCTAACCTCTCCTCTTCCCATATAGTCTGGAATAACTACGTTCACATCCCTGCCGACATTGGCGTATGGGTCCCCTATGCTTTCGCTGGCATATCCTTTCTCCTAGCTGCTTGTGGAGGCTACGTCATACTGTCTCCCGCCGGTCTTATAAAATCTATAACCGCCGTCCCTGCCAAATTATGTGCTCATCCTCCAAAAGTTGATGCACCGCTCTATGTAGAAATTGCTCTTAAAAAGGTCATTCCTATTCCATTTATGCCTCCGCGCATCCTAACTCTGTCACCCTCTTCCCTCCATCTTACAAGTCATCTCTATCACGCCAGAACTCCCGCCGAGGAAAGGGCATGGAATAAGCTAGTCGAAGAAAAGAGAAGGGAGTTAGCGGAATATGATAAAACGCATATCATTGGAAGAGGAACACGGAAGATTTCAGTGGGTATATTTGAGTTAGTTAGGGCATTTGGGAGATGCTGGACTAGGGATGGATTTATACCAGTACGGGTTACCGAGAGAGGAATGGGAAGAGTGTTGAAGTTAGATGGAGAGGCAGGGTGGGCACAGGATGGAGGAAGGGCCTTGGAGAAGATTATAAAAGTTCAAGACTCTAAGAGAGTGGGGTTTTAGATCCATGTGGTATTAGGGGAGGAATAACCGAGAAGTCGCTTCGCTTAGGAAATCAGGCGAATAGCTATGGAGGTATTTGTACATACAATACAAAACTATCACCAGTATACCAACATTTGAGCAAGAGATTGTGATTTACTATACGACTATCATCTCTTGATCAAATATTCATGCTCGTGTCAACTCCAAAAGCAGTCATATGAAAACTTCGAGTTGAACTTTACAACACATTTTGAGCACTCAGATGTGGAATCCCTTTTAGAATAAAGCAAATATTCGACATTCATGCATTTGAGTGCTTGCGTAACCCACATTCTCGGCTTCGTAAAATACGATGATATTTTCGAGGATATGGTAAAAGAAAATCTGATCCATGAAATATGAAAGCTTGAACGATGCTGTAGATATAATAGTAGAGCCAAACCGAAAGGTCTTGCTAGAATAGGCCCCTTACTCGCCGTTCGTGGTTTTCTAAATTGAGAACGAACTATCATTATACGTATATGACATTCAATATCTCTGCAAGAAACAAATCAGAAGTAAGAAGCGCAACAACACCATAAGAAAATTCCAAGCGACTTCCTCGGATATCCATTAAACTGATAGCACATAATCGAAAATAATCTGACTGAGAAGGAGAACGGATAATATATATTGATACCTATGTATCTTCTGTTCTCAAACTCAAAGTTCTTCAATACTCATCCATAGGTCGGTACTTACATATCTATCACCATACTCAACATTCCCTGGTTACCATTCAATAGCAGTGATTATAGGAGCGTCGAGTCGAAGAAGATCGGAAAATGGCAATTTGCACTTTTCTCTTCGAAGATTTCAATGGTATTCTTTGGAATTTGAGAATTACTTTGAAATTTCTGGGAAGTAGTGGTGAAGATGTGCATTAGAACTAATTTTGTCTTTTTAGTATTGTCACGCTAATTCCGTCCATTCATATTTTCTCTTTCATCTTATTTCTGCCTTTCGAGTCTCTGCACACTCATCAAATTAATCGCCGCTAAAATTATGAATAGTATCATGAACGAATATCTATACGCATCCCATCATCTCTGATCCCTCGCTATTCCCATTTCTCACTCGATATTCTTGAACTTACGTTCTGGTAAATTCTAGAACATCAGCAAATACACTACTCCAGTCTCATTGAATGCTGACTTATTTCCCCATTTCACTCACCTATTTATCTCGCTCTGTGTTTAATCTAATCTAAACCAACCGTGATACACAAGCTAAACACCTCTTCCTTCGGCCCTACGTTTTTCAAAGCATACATAAAATTACCTCATGATCTAATTCCTAGACATGCTTTATTAATATATAACTAAGATTACAGAAATAGTTTCCCACTTGCGGTCCACATTATCCTAACATACACTGCCATGCTGAACATGCAATTGTCTCCAGATACAGAAATCAATGGCTGATTGTGAGACTTGTATCCATACTTGCAAAGTTTACGGTAAGTATGCACTTTATAGATATGCAACAAAAGTCACAAACTCAGACTGATCTAGTGATCATCAATTATTGTATAGTGACATGGACATAGCTGGGATGTATATATATTTGCATGGATTTTATAGATATGCAATCATAGTTTCAAACTCTATCATTTCGTTTATTCCTGTTGTAACTACACACTTTGCAGGTTTGCAGCAAAAATTGGATTAATGTTATTGAGTAATTCTAACTTGAAGTGTATACTACGGCACGTATGGAATTTGTAGATATGCAACAAATCTCATATTTTAATCCTAGAGGTGAGGTAGCATCTATACCTCTGAAACAAGCGACTAGCTAATCATCTTCATCATACATTGGGAATTATAACCTCATATTGGAGCTCTCGGTCGGTACATATTTTTAGATATGCAACAAAATCTAGTTGACTATTAAGTCTAGTACCCCTCTTTTCGGCCATTTTTTTACACCAAAAATCATCATTTTCAGCTATTAATATTTCAACAACAAAGGAATGAAATCAATTGAAATTTTAATTATAGATTATTTATATAATTGTTAATGAATTCTAAAATTTTCGGATTTTTCACAATTTTATTGATTGAGAAATTGAAAGTTGAAATTACGATTTTCAATTTATATAAGATTAATATACAAATTTAAAAATCATTAAAACTTGAAATAATTTTTCAACAAAAATTATTAAAAATAAACTATAAATCTTTTTCAAATATTTATATTATATTGATTGAATGAATTAGAATTTTAAATTATAAATTATAAGGAAAAACTTTTATTAATATTTTTAGATTTTACAAGGATTAAAAATTATAATATTTTGATTAAAAGAATTTTTGTAAGTTATTTTTTTTTATAAAAAAAAGGCTTATATAATTCATTATGATATAAATATTCGATAAATTTTTATAGTTTATTTTTAGTTATTTTTGTTGAAAAGTTATTGAAAATTTAATAATTTTTCAAATTTGTATATAAATCCTATACAAATTGAAAAATCAAAACTTTAACCTTTTAAATCTCAACGAAATTGATAATAGAAATTCTCAAATTTTCAGAATCGATTACTAATTATATAATGAATCTATAATTCAAATTTTATTAGATTATATTGATTGGTTGTAAAGTTATTAGTAATTGAAAATCACGATTTTTGGTGTAAAAGGGTGGCCGAAAAGAGGGGTACTAGACTTAGATCATTGGATATTACTAACTACATCCTATTGCAAGTACGCCAAGATACGCAAGGAAAGATTAGCTATCCGCCAATGTGAGCCTGTGAGAGGTTCTCTTATAGGTAAGAATAGTATGTATTACGGTGAGTATGAATTACAGATATGCAACAAAAAGTCTCAATATCGGCTTCGAGTACAGGATTTGCGGACTGAATCCTAGAATACGTGCAAAATCATATATGCAGCTAAAATCCAGCGTGATTTATCACCGTAGTAAGATCTTACCACGGTATGTATGCATTGCAGAAGTGTAACACAGGAATTGGATTTTGCTTAGACTTGTAAAGATTACAATAAACTCATCTCGCAGCATGTACGCATGAGGTATACAGTCAAGATCCATGGTGGCCTATCAACGAAATACCACGGCACGTATGTACTTTTAGATATGCAACAAAAGAAGATTCATACTATAGTCAACACATTCACCATATTCAAGTATATTGATTCCGTGGCATATATACGCCATAGATATACAACAAGAACTATCTACGAATACTTACCGGGAACTCGAATATAGAATAATAGTTTATATATATAAGATTTAATACTATAATCATCCAAGATATATACAGTACTAGAGCACTGATAATTAACCGAGGGCCTTTTTACACCAAAATTTAATTATTTTATTTATATATTTTAATAATTAAAAGAATTATATTATTGAGTTTATATTATTTTTATATTAGAAATTCAATATAATAATCTAAAAATTGAAAATTGAAATTTTTAAAAAAATCGACAAAGAATAATATAATTCTAAAAATAATATTTAAATTTTTTATTGACTTTATTATAAAAATAAAAGAAAAATTTGATTTGATATTTGAATATATAAAATCTAAAAAAATAAACTAGATATTTTTAAACATTATTCAATATTAGAAATTTTAAAACATTAAAATTTTTATTAAATATTTACAATAATTAAAATTATTATAATTTATTGAAATAATTGAGTTTTAATATATAATGACCCTTGGTGTTACGAGCGTTGCGATCTAGATTATATAGAAGTAATCTAGATCCTTGAAGGGTTTATAATTAAACATCAAGTAAAGACTTTAAGATAATATCAATAGTTGTAATTTATAATTAATAATAAAGTATATTAAATGATTGATCTTAAATATAAAGCTTTATAATAAAGAATCCTTCTTGATTATATAGATCTTTGTTTTTAGAAACTATAAGAGTTTTCAAATTTTCAACACTTCTTTGAAGTTGTAGAAACCTTCAAATCTCCAATACTCTATTAAAGTTATAAAGCTTTTGAATCTTTAATACTTTATTATATGATTCTATAATTGTTATTGAATTGGATTTAATAAAACAAAACGAAAAAAAATATATATATATTTAAATTTCAATATGAGATATATAAATATATACCCCTCTATACATCTATTTACTCATTCAGAGCCTCTTTTTTCTTCCCCTCTATGATGATCTTACCAATTTCCTCTCACAATCTAATCGCACGCTTGATTGTGACCCGCAAATTCATATATATATATACATACACACATATAAATACATACATGGATATATACATAACCACCAGCACCAACACCAGCACCAGCACAAGAACAACAATACATAACCAACCAACCCCTTCCAAACCAAATCGAATCATCCACCTCAAATCATCCACCTCAAATCATCCACCCCAAATCATCCATCTCGCTACTTTTCACCAAATTATCCTCCTCCTACATATACATACACACACACATACATATACATATACATCCCGCTACACCAATACCAACACAACCAGCACTTACTAAAAAATCTCCTGCACGGGGGATTTTCCGGTTGGTTTGAAGAGGTAACATATAGAGTGCGTGCAGAAAGTGGCTTGCCTTGCATACATTTTTTTTGCAGGCCTCTGTAGGCTTTACTCCCTAGACGTTACAGACGTTGTGGACGTTGCACCCCACCTTAAGCGCTTGCACTAGGTGAAAGAAAATGGAACAGATAATGCAACATGTTTATGTTTATGCAGATGTATGTGTGTATGTATATGCTAATGCGGACATAGTCAGCAAGTAAGGTAAGCAAGTAGCCAGCCAAGCAGAAAAGTAGCCAAGCAGAAAGTAGCCAAGCAAGTACGGAGTAAGAATGCAGGAAAGAGAAAGCCAAAGTACAGGTAGGTATGGAGATAACATTCCAAAAGAGTAGACGGACACGTGACACGAACATGGGAATGAAATGAAATGCGAAAAAGAAAAACCGACCCAGAAATGATTCTGCCCATCTGGTGACCTACCTGTAAGGAAGGTTATATCGCTGTGAGGAGTAAGGTAAGGTAAGGGAAATATATAATGTACAGTATAAGTCTAGTACGTAGGTAGGTAGGGACTGACGTGGTAGCTATCCACCCAGCATTTCAGTACACCAGTACATACCATACTCCGTAACGAAATACTCCGCAAACGATACACACATCCGTTAAGCGTATCAAGATAGAGAAAGTGCCGAATAACCATCTTTAAAGTTTCCGCAAGGCGTCATTTGGAAATATCGAGTTCGGTAGACAAATAAGTGATCTACTTGGGAAGCTTGGCATAATGGTACCAAAACGCGACGATGAAACTGTTGATCTGATCTAAATCGATAATCAGTATACCCTTTTCAGCATACCCTTTTTACAACCCCTCCATAGGTACCATGACTCTACTGTAGACGCCCGGATTTCATTAGACTCGGGGTTGATGCTGGTCGGTCTGGTGTGGTGGGGGAATTTGGATGTTCATCATGTTCTAGAAAGAATTTGCTTGGTAAAACTGTCGGTGTGAACTTTGAAGAAGCGAGATTAATGCAGACCCCAACACATATTTGGAATGATATGCAAGACTCCTTTCGTTCAGATGTTCAAGATGCTTGAAAGATTCATATCAGATGGATGTACTTGTCGGTTGCACCATGAATGAATGAATGAATATCTTTCTGTGGCATCAGATGAACAATTATTACTTCTGCGTTGACCGCGTATACCACCTCCAGTTCTAGTGGTGCTTGTCTGTGCCATGTATTGTACCGAGGATTTTGATGAGACGATGAGCCTATCAACCAACGTCCAAGTGTCTATACTTTTCTGGAGACGTTGGTGGCGGGGTTAATTCCGAGGTCTCTCCAAGAGCTGATACCAAATAAACGCTTTGATATTTAACCCATGCAACTAGGGTTAGAGAGAGAAAGATAAGATCTTATCTAAACAAGTGAATGAGGTGGGTGCGGTTTGGTGCGGTTTGGCTTGTTTCTGTTTGCTTACCTTTTCTCTTTCTATTCATAAATCATCCATGTCCATGTCTATTGACGCAAGCCATTTCCTTCCCTCCTTCATCACTCTCGCTTCACCGCTGTCCTTGGAAATAGCAAATGCAAATGTGCTTGGTGTATCCGAGAATAAAAAGATTATTGAAACTATCTAGGTAATCAGTTTCCTCTTCGCCTCCCTTCGCAATTTTAATCATCCTATTTGTTTATCTAATTACCTAGACAACAACCGTTACGCTTGACAAACGATAAGCAAATTATCCGTGATTTAGATAAAATATAAAATTGATTCCTTTCTTCCTTTCGGTTGCCCCGTTAAAGATGTTGTCATCTCCGACATGCTCATTTCGTTTGACAATGTCGCAGTTTTCCATCCCGAAGCATCCGAGACTTGGAAGAATATCTTGAAAATATGAGATATGATCAGAAGCATCAAATCTTGAGAGTCACCTGCTTCACTGGCTCATGATTGGAGAAGCTGTAATTTTTTTTGGGCAGATGAGATGCAAATCCCAAATTGTGCATATCCCACGCAGCACTCCGTGTGGCTTGTGGAATTAGATATTCGCGAGGCGCGGCCAAGCTTACAATTTTGACGGCGCATGTAACACACCTTGATGAGGACCTAGTACCGGTAGCCCTTTTGGAATTTATGACTGGCATATGCTGCGGCCAATATGTTAACCCTTTCGTTTCTTTGCCTTGGATTTTTCGCCCTTTTATTAGATCATTCATCCGTCCATCCAAATGCGAGAAGGATTTAGAAACAATCGAATGGTTGCGATGGAATGGTTGCAATAGTTGCAAATACTCTAGTCACCACTTCACCATGGCGGGGCTCCTCATGCCGAAAGGCGTCATTCCTATTTGGTTTTCTACTGCTTTTCCACTGCTTTTCTTGTGTCTCTTTGCCCACCGATCATTCGATGGTGTGTGCGTTAATCCACTTTCTTCCATTCGTTATCAATTTTATGGATCACACATTTTAGTGAACCCTTAGTAGACCGTTTGTATGGAGTGATGAAGTGATAAAAATGGCATGACAGGCAAATCAGTCTCATAATTTGAGGAGCTAAGCGCGCTTGACTCTTTAGATAATTCGGAATGTGAGAAGATTAGAATACTTTCACCTGACCTTCTCACACGGGTCATTGAGGCTGAACTATGTTTCGCATCTTCTCGTATCACCAACGCATTCGGGCTGTGAGTAATGAACTTTGATAAAATGTGACTGCGGTCAGCATATTCTTAGAGAAGAAAGAGTGTGCCAGTGTGCCAGTGTGCCATCGGTCGGTTTGACGCGTGAGGGATTATGAAAGATATGTGGCGAGGGTAGAATCGAAAATGTGTCTTGCGAAGGAGTCACAACATACACAATGGTAAGATACCGTAGCGGTGAAGGAAGAAGGATTCGTAGTGTTGAATGATGCAAGCAATAGTAGAGGAAGGTATCGTCAGAAAAAGGGTTGAAGGGAGTTTATGTTGCCGTTTGCGTCGGCTCTTAGCCTTTACCCCAGTCCTTCATTCAGCACTTTGCCCTTTGGCAGGGCGACAGGAGATAAATCTGGTAATGGTTGGTTTGGATCAACGATGTACTTTGGTACTTGGCGTGACGATCCATCATCATCCATGTACTTTAACTGCTTTCAAAGTAACTTTTGAGTTTGAGGGCTTTTTTTTCTTCATGATGGTTTGTTTCTAAACTGGGACCCATTCCAGAAAATGCCAATCATAAACAATATCTCGGGTTTGGAAACTCAAATTTCGGAATTGAGGGGCAGGAAAGGGGATATTCGGGCAAGTATCTTCTCTGGAGACTTGAATGCATGTTGTAACTTGTAACTTGTGAGTGATTGTGGGGGGGCATTTGAGACAAAAAGTCGGCTGGCTTGTCTAGGATGACTGTTATTTGTCTTTCCACCGGAAGCCCTGCAAATCATTTTTGCCCAAGAGCCCAGCTGTTCATATTCCCCATAACAACGATTAGGGACGATTAACAACCATCAACATCCATAACACTTCATAGCCATCCATTTAAAATTTCATCTGATTTTCCAAGTTGTTGCTCAAGACCTGGTGATCATGACTAGAAAATCTTCCGATATTTATAAGATCTTGAGTCTTGACCCATTTGGTCTTGATATCCCTCCCCTCACGCATGCTTTGTGACGTCGTCATGGATCATGATGGATGCATTCTGTCGGTACTTCCTCGTACTTCTTCGCCAGAATGGGTTTGGATCGTAGAACGTGTTCGGAAAAAGTGACAGCAAGTAAATAAAATAAAATAAAACATACTCCACCCACTCGTTCATACTCCGTAGATCGATGGAATGGAAAAAAAACGTTGGAGGCATCAAGGGACCTTGGAGGGGTGATGGGTTCGATTCCGAAGACAAGGCGTTAAATAAAGAGATGATGTATGATGTACATGTTACGGATATGCAGCTTGGCAATCTTTGGATATTGGACATTGGATATTGGATATTGGATATTGGATATTGGATATTGGATATTGGATATTGGATATCGAACATCAAACATCAAAGCAGTTTTGGGTAGGATACGAGTAATGAAAGGAGAGTACCCGATGATGACACCGACGGACGGTGTGAATAGGATAGAAGAATTGTAGATCTCTATTGGTTGGTAATTGTTGCATGTCCGCCGAGAAGGGGACAATAGGCAGTCGACAACGAGGTAATTCCCCCATTCATACACCGATATCGTATACCGGTATGCATCTTTTACGGTGGTGAACAAATTTGGGTTTATCTACCATCTTCATCTCTGTAAATAGCAGATAGCAGATAGCAGATAGCAGCCATTAAACCGATCATCAGCAATTACCAGCAACTGGTCAAAGTGTTCTTGCCTAGTTAAGGCAAGGTTCCCACTACAGGGTTCCCACTACAGCACTGCAGCACTGCAGCGCTGCAACACTGCTGTTGATACCTGCTGAAAATAGCCCGTGTATCTTTGCATAGGATTTGGGATTTTTAAGGGTCTTGTCGGTCTTTACCAATTGTTATAGGTGTCAACCTTGAATACCTCCCAACAGCAAACACTATGCTATATTATATTATGTTATATTATATTATATTATATTATATTATATTATATACCTGGCAATAACTTTCACTAGTGACTCGGATGTATAATGGTATGATGTATTAATTATACGCACCGACTTGAGCCACTGGAATTTGAAGATGTGACAATCTACTTTGAGTTATCCTATCAACAACTCGATAGCTTCACAGTGTTCACACACCACCTGGGCACATACACATACACACGCGAATCTCCCACTCCACACCTTGGAAACTTCATTGCTCTCCCACTCTTCAAATCTATACGACCTCCTCACCTATTATATCGTCCTACCGTGATCATCCTCATCGCCGCCGTATTATTTGTCCTCGATAACAAGTGCATGCAATTATTTACTGGCTAATCACGCAGATCAGAACCCAGAGAAGCAAGCAATAGAAAATTCCCACAAAAAAATAACATATCCCGCTCCCTCTTCTGTGCATACCTCTTCTTTGCATACCTGCTGGATGCTGAAAACCCCGATAAAATCAAAATTCAATCCAATCAGGACATCAGGACATCAGGACATACTTCATACTACATTCATCAATACATCAATGCTTGATGCTCGATGATTCTCACCTCTCCACTCCTATCTTGTCTTGTTTATCTCCCCAACCCATCTGAACGGACCATTTCTCGCAGATAAATTTTTTTTTTTTTCTTTTTTCTTTTTTACCCTCTCTCCCTTGCTAGCCTTCCCGAACTTTCAGTCCTTCCTCTTAATCCCATTACTTTTAATTTTAATTTCTACAGTATAGCACCCACGCTACGACCTGATATTGCATCTGGCGTCGCAAACTAGGAAGAACCCTTAAAAGTGCCAGGGAATAGATGCTTGTGAGTGGGTATTTGATCTCATACACCCTTGTCTTACAGCAGTGGAGAATTCCTGTACAACAAAAGAAATTCAACGAACCAACGGCCGACCTCGCTTTGCATATCCATAACGCCTGCATACATACAATCCATACAGAAGGAAGGCCCTCGAGCCTGGTAACCTATTGGTCCCTCGGAACCTTTGGTTTAATACTTCGAAAGCGGCAGAACTTCTCTGTTCAGATATCGTCGTCGCAGAACATAGGGAGAGTCTTATCCTTCTCTTCTTTGTTCGATCTTTTCCCTTCCTTCCAAAGTCTTGTGAGAGTCTCAGACCTGTGCTGCTCTACGTGTTCCGCACCACGATAAGAGCGTTGAAGAGGTACGTCGAAAAATTCTCCTATCCGTTTCCGATCCTCGTCCCGAAACATTTCTTCTATCATTTGCGGGAGACTTTTTTCTCTTGCGCACCCAAGAGGTAGTGTTCGTAGAATTTGATCTTCCGCGCGTGGAAGACACGGGCGAAAGCTCCATGGCTTTTTAGGAGATGCTCCAGATGGGATCTCCCCTTCCGACCCATTCAGACACGAGATACTATGTGGTCGTCACACTAAATGAATTGAAAACCATCTAACGACGTCGTGTAATCTGCAGACTGCCCAAGCAATTTCTTTTTCAACACCTCGAGTCGTACTCGTGCCATACTACGAACGTTTACTTTCGAATACAAGGCCCGCTGGTAGCCTGGTTCGAAGCGTCTTTTTTTCCCGTGAAAGGGCTTTACTGTCATAAATCGTGGTGATTGAAACACATGCATCCTTAATGATGGATACTGAGGATGGACAGTTCTTCATAAAGGTACTTGGGAAAAACATCTTCTTTGCAAAACTCGATCTGTCATATCATGGCATGTGCTGATAATTCATTTTATTTGCAGAACTTGGCCCACTTTGTTCGTACACATGAAAAGGCTCTCGCGAATGCCTTGCAACTTCGACGTCAACAAGCTCCTAAACATGGCTCCTCAAACAGCATATCTAGTGTTGTTGGAGGGTCTGCTGTCCCATCCCCAACAGTGACAAACCAGCCATCATCAGCGTCTTCTTCTACGACTTCTAGTACTCTCGCAGCTGCCCTCTCTCTCCCGTATCTTACCTTCGCCTCCCACAACATCAAGCCTGCCAAACTCGCGTTGACACCCCATCATCTATTCTATCTCCTTTCTCGATTTGAAGATCTAGGAGTTCCAGTTGGTCCAATGAATGTGCGGTTAGAGAATCTCCATGCAGATACATCAGCAGCAAACTACGTTTCGTTTTTAAGTCAGTCTCAACGTCCGAAAGGTCGTGGTTCTGACAGTGGATCTATCCACTCCGTGTCAAGTGTGAGGAGTGTAATGTCTGGCATGTCTTCCTTGTGGTCGAATTTTGGCCTTGGATCTGGGAGCTCTGCTGCTCGCACGGAGAAGCAGAAAGCTGCCATTCAAGCTGACCTGAAGTACCTATATTCGGCATTTACCAAAATCCCCTGCCTTAGACTCGCTCCGGATCGTCGCGCACGTTTGATTGAAGGTTATGAAGAATTCCCATTCGATTCCGCTGTTCCACTGATTGCCTTTAAAAATATTAGTGCTTTGGAAATTAGTGACATCGACATTCGACAGTTCTTTGGCTGGGACAAGCTAGCAGAACAATTGAGATCATTAACCGTGAAGCGGGCAGGTGTTGACGATCTCGCTGATCTATTGATCAATATTGTGCTGGACGATATTGATAAAAGGAGGCGGCGGTCTTCCAAAGCACAAATGTCACCAACTTCCACCTTCATTCCCGGATCGAGTCCAAGACGTAGTCCAACAATGCCACATGCAGAGCTCGTGAAATCTAGTTCTGCACCCGGATCACCAGATGATCGCAGCCACCTTATCGATACAGAAGCAAGAGGGTTAGTACGTTCAGGTTCAGATATTGCCGAATTCGGTAAATCTCCAACCAAGCATGGGCAAAGACCAAGAAGCAACTCTCCTGTTCGCCCACCAAGTTCCCGTACGGGTTCATCGCATGGTCATCTTCGTGGCTCCTCCTACAAGGTTAAAAGGTCTGGTTCCGGGAGTTCGCATTCAAGCATGTCTGATAGTTGGCACAACCCCCGAAACAGTACCTCAAATATGTTGTCTATGGGTGTTTTGCCATCTTCAAAATGGAGATTCTTGAAACATCTCAGCATTGCAGACAATGGTCTGACGTCTATTACTGCGTCCAGCCTTGCCCCCTTAGCTAATACCCTCCATTCCCTCGATCTCTCCTCAAATCTGTTCGCTCAGATCCCTGATTGTTTGGCATCTCTTACTGCATTGCGAGCACTGAATCTATCTAACAACATGATTGAATCTCTTCATTCTCTTACCCGAAACCCCCTACCTGCTATATCCGCTCTCAATTTAAGGTCGAACCGTCTCGTATCGATAGCCGGAATTGAAAGGTTATATCCTTTGGAGAGACTTGATCTCCGTGATAACAAGGTTACTGATCCGACAGAACTTGCCAGGTTGACAGGAATACCAGATATTCGAGAGATATGGATTAGTGGCAACCCATTTACCAAAACACATAACAACTACAGGACGACAATCTTCAACCTATTCAGACAAACACCAGGATATACCGAGGACATTTTGATTGATGCTTATGGACCTGGGTACACGGAAAGGCGGCATTTGGTAGAGCGTGTTGCGGAACGACCAGGCGTGCCTGTTGTCAAACCACCTCCTCCCGATTATGGACTATCTGCTATCGAGGTCAACAAACCAATTATCGAGTATGCAGCTCCGCGGGAACCTGCAGTACTCCGGAAAGAGCGACCGATGCCTGTCGCTGCAACTAGTGAAATTAACACTGGCTCCACAGGTCGAAGAAGAAGAACTCCAAAACGGCGAATAGTAGACTTATCGACTTCGGAAACATCACCGAGCAAGCAAGGAGCCGTTCACAATGTTATGCCAGAAGAACCATCGCCACCTATGCCAAGAACAGTATCGGACAGTAGCTACGGCATAAGTCCTGATTTTTCTCCCAGAACTATTCCGACCTATGTCCCTTCAGAACCTCGGCAGGTCCAGAGGCAACCGGACATTCCACGCATCGACACTTCCATATTACCTCGTTTACCTCCAATGCCACCGGTGGAAACAGTACCTTACGAGACAGCAATTAAACCACAGGCAGTCAAGACTCCCGATTCCCCCGATTGGAACATAAGTGGTGAGCTATATCGAAAGAAGATAGAGGCTCTAAGAAATGATGTTGGACAAGGGTGGTTGAGTGTGTTAAGCGAAGAAGGTTGGGAGGCTCAAAAGAAAAATCAACCCACTGGATATCAAACCTCCGAATACGACTCAACGGTTACGATGAGATCAGTTCCTACAATCAGGGGAGCTAGCCAACAGACGATACATAGTGGCCGTACCTTGGGTTGAAGTGCACACCGGCAAAAGCAAAGTTCACATACATACAAAACTAGAATGGCTTGATCTCAGTAAAGGGCAGGTCAAGTGTTTGGCAGGTAATGTGATTCCTGCGAATGAATAATCATTATCGATATGGATACTGGTTAGTTGAGGAGGAGATGAGAGAAGAGGCACTTGTTTATTTTGATACCCCGACCCCATTCTTCTTTATATTGTTTTTTGAGAAAATTGATTTGTATCATCGAATGACGAACGACTCTGCTCTTGATTGAAAGAAAATTCTGCATGGAAGAGGCATTTTATTTTATTTTATTTTTCAGGCTCGAACTTTTTTTATCATCATGGAATGCGTGCATAGCGTTTAGGTTGGAGGTCAAGTTGCTGTTTATGTTTTCTTTTATGAACGAATCAAATGATGGATTGGAACAGAAATTTTTTCGGCTTCTTCAAGAATGAAATGAATGAATGGAATATGTTACTAGATCTTGAAAAGGCAATGAAAGGGAACAGTGACGATGAGAGAGGAATTTCGAGCCAGAGAAAGCAATGTCATGTTTGTAACTAAAGCTTTTTTATGGATGGAGTTTTAAGGTTGGGAAATACTTTCATTTCATCTACCCATGGTTTGATCTTTGAGATGGATGGATGGGCTGGGGCGTTTGAATCATGAGTTACTGTTGGTCTTGCCTGGATGGGGAGGCATTTACACATAGTGGATGTGCTTGGGATCAGGTGGTGGGAGGTGGGAGGTTTACGTCAATGCGATATGTTCAAAAAATGGGAAAGTCATAGTGGTCGATTCATGGTCAGTGTTTGGGAAGCGGATTGGCATATGATAGGATGGGATGGGAGATGAGAGGAGATACGAATGACAGATGCAGCAGCTTGAATGAGAGATGGATTAATGAATTGAAAGGTTGTTCTTTTGTGATGATGATGATGATGATGATGATCTGTCTACGTGGTTTTACATGGACTTTGTTATGTGATGTGAAGTGAAGTGAGGTTCCTCGTGTTATGATTAAATGATCTTTTGAAAGAAGGAAAATCTCGACAGTCAGTCAGTCAGTTTATGTGCAATATGACGTCAGCAAGTGCTGCATATTGCATAAAGTCTAATGGTAGAATAGTAGGATAGCAGTAAAACTAGTCAACGGTGAGAGAAATTTTATGACGGGAGGAACCGGGGACTGGGATTAGTAGTTTGGGGTTTTTTTCCCCTCCAAGGGGAGTATAAGTGTATGTGTGTACGATTCATTTGACGAGGCGATGTGAGGCGATGGAGTGATGAGGCGAGAGTGGCTCGTGCATTTTTCATCGGATGATTCGCAGCGCGCTAGTTAAGGTTACTAGTTAGTTTATCGTGAACTTGTGAGTTGTGAGTTGGAAGCGGGGATTGGGAAGTGGGAAGCAGGTGGGTCGCTTTGGGTTTGTATGTATGTGTGTGTGTGTGTGTGTGTGTGTATGTGTGTGGATCCACTTTATTTTTTTCTGTTTTGTACACTGTATGGCTGGGTAGGTGGCTGGGTGAGTGGATGGTTGGGTGAGTGGATGGTTGGGTGAGGGATGGGGAGGGAGGTTTAAGAGGTGGGGGTAGGTGGATGGGGATGGAGGATAGGTGGTGGGGTTTAGGGATGAGGGATGAGGGATGATCTTCAGCCTTGTTTTTACTCTGGCGGTGAGGGGTGGGCTGGGTTGGGTTGGATTGGGGTGTGGGTGTGGGTGTGGGTGTGGGTGTAGTGGGTTGGAATGGATTGGGGAGGTGAGGGATAGTGAAAGAGGGTTGAAGAGGGATGGAAGATGGTTGGATTGGGTTTGATAGGTGAGGGATGGTAAGGGAAGGTAAGAAAAGGTATAGTGAGGCGATGTATTTTGAAAATTGTTTTGAGTTTATGGATCTTTTTGAAAGGATGTACAGGTGTATGCATGTATAGATGTACGTCCTGCGGATTTGGGGATTTGTATTTGTGAAGTTCTAGAATTTTAGAGTTTTAATGTATACGGAGTCTTCAGATGCTGATACTAATGTGGTTGCTGATGTTGTTGCTGATGTTATTGTAATAGTTGGGTCGAGAATTGGGAACTTTTTTATTTGGGAGATTGAGGATCGGAGTTGGGGGTTGGGGTTGAGGGTATGTGACTTTGGCTTTGGAGGACTGGTTTTGAGAGGGGATTTCTGGGGAGCGTTTTGATGGTGTATGTTTAGGGGAGGAAGGTTTTGAGGAGGGATTTATGACGGGTGTTTTGGTGGTCTGGGTTCGGGGGGAAGGGAGAGTATAAGAGTATATGAATGTAAATATATTGTCATGAACCACGACTAAGTTTAGGTGATAATTCTAAGTATTGGTGTTTTAGCTGCTGATTATACGGGGTTTCTTATTGTTTATGATTAGGGGTTTTTAGGACAAATGCTTTAGATAATAATTGATAAACAAATGTTAATAAATAGGATTAGTTGATTAGAAAAAAGAACATTTTAGGATTAAATTTTTTAGGAGGAAGGATGTTCTAGGATTAATAATTTAGAAATTATCGAATCTTAAAGCAAAAGATCCAGGAGGTGGGTTCTAGGATAACTGTTTTGGGATAATTGGTCCTTTAGGATCAGATTATGTGATAAATAATATGGATAGTCGAACTATTCAGATTATTCTCAATGATGGATAGTATAGATAGTCGAACTATTCAGACTATCTTCAAAGATGGAATTAGTATAGAATCAGGAATAGTTTCGTAGTATAGGAACTTTGTATTCAATCTAGTTATTAATTAGTTTATATTCTATTTGATCTAGTAACGACTTCACTTCTAAGTAAACACTTAGTGACATAGTTTTAACCTATTAGTACCAACCGACGAATCTAAGACAGTCGCTGCCAGAGAATACTATGAGTGTGAATGTATATAAGTTAATAATCAATTAATAATAAATTATTAATTATAAAAGAGTAGTCCAAAAAAGAGATGGTCCTAAAAAGGGGAACTCGACTTACGTAGAGCTGCAGGAGCTATATTCTATAGACGATGTTTTGGAAAAAAATTCATATAACGATATCACTCTTATAATTTAATCATGAAGAGATCCGGCAATGCCTTAATAGAAGGAAGGGTAGAGATATATCAATAACGCTTTAACAAAACAAATTCAGTAGAACTTATAAACCTCAATCAACTAGATTCTTTTTCGGTATCCTTAGCTTCAAATAATACATTATAATACATTATTTGGGCGCATACATACACATCTGCAAGATACCTCCTGCATAAGCAAGCTTATCATCACCTTTGTCAAGTTTACCGTCTCGAGAGTCTGCAAAATCTTATATGATAGCCGAATGCCTTCGAACTTGCCATCAGCTCTTCCACTTTCTCGCCATAAACTTGTATAATAATATTCTTTCTGCACTACTGACGATACTTATTAGCATAACTCACTTCAATTCTCAATAGGAACTGATAACAAACTCTCGAGTTACATCTGTAAACTCATCTACTTTCTTCTTAACCAGGAGGTGTGACGGCATTAAGCGGTTCTGTAAAAATCAAACCAACGATGTTATTTTCTTTGAACCCGGCAATAATATACTCAGTAATCTTGGTATCAGAATAAAATGATCTAAAAATTTTGACTTAAGTAATTAAATTTAAATTCATTCAAAAACTGAACAATTTGTTAATAATTTTATAAATCCTCAATAGATTAAATTATAATCTAACTCATTTAAAAATTTAAATTTGATGAATTCTATAATATTATATAATATTAATTAATTATTTTTTAATTTGATTATAATCTCTAAATATAAATATTTTATAAATTTTAATAAATTTATTATTAAAAAGTTTTATTTAATTCAAAAATTCAGGTTATGATTTAATTCTTTCAGTAATAGAATATCTAAGTCAAAATTTCTATATCAAGTTCCTTTAATGATTTACTTAATCCTATAAGAATATATACTAGTTGTTCAGACGACTATTTAAACGAAGTACAGCAAATCATTAGACATACTGCCCCAGCAACTCTTCCTCAAACAAACCCAAGCTTCATATGCCTGTAGAAGTCTATTCCTCTTACCTTTTCGTATAGTTTCCTCTGTATAACCATACACAAATCCAGATAGACAATCGCCATCATGTTTCACAGCAATATAAGACGTGCTCGAAGGCTAATCATGGTTGTGAAATCTAGCACGGTGGCCAAACGTATGGAATTCGGGAAGAAGAAATTAAAAGTTTAAGTATATTAGGAGGATCTCTCAGTATCTTAGTATTTCAGACTGCAGCATATAAGTGTTGTTAGATTCTTGTATATAGCTTCGAATTAAGCTTACAGTCTAAGGAATAGTTGGATTGATAAGTCCGTTTATATAAAAGCCGACCTAGCTAGATTACAGTCCTATTTGTTTGAGTTAGACAATGGTATACTTTTCCTTCAAATAACATATGAGAATATAACTTCAAATTCTCAATTCGGTTTATTTATTAAATTTATAATATTGTTCATAATATTACATATAAAGATTATAAACCCTTTGAATATAATATAAATATTATATGAAGTTTATATAATACAAAACTTAAATATCATTCCGGATTTCCAAGTTTTATATTAATTAATTCAAAATAAATTGTAAAATTTTTTCAAATAGTTTATCTAGTTCAACAAAATCATATACTAGTCGTCAAACTCGCGAATTTTGTACAATATTGCAAGACTATTGGACACACTGGGAGTCTTCGAGCACGGCGTGGATGAAGGGGCAGCTGGCAAAAATGTAGTTCACATTTTTGGTGTCATAGAAGGATATGCTCATTTCGGGGATTGAAGATACTTCAAAATCACCGAATGCGCAGCATTTGGCCATTTGAATGTCGCTTGGAACGGAAATTTACAATTGAGGTCGCAAATGGCATAAAAAAGGTCTTGTAATAACGGCTTTTTGAGAGAGGAGAGATAGTAATGTTGATGGTTGAGAATGTGTAGATTTCATAATGCTGTCAATGAGACGCCGCTGATATTCCGGCTTGGCTTATCTATCTACTAGTACCGCCTGGAAAAATTGAATATGTTTAAAGTAATGAATTCATTCTAACTTTGAAAGCTTGTGTCAGGTATACTAGTCCGAACAGTATCTCAACTTGTGGGTTCTGACTCGTTCTATTCTAAATACAATGCCGTAATGGAGTCGTTAGCCTCTAATCACAAGCTTATACGGTTTGAAAAGATTATGCGGGAATACGAACAGAGACAAGTGGGTTGTGATTGCAAACGATTGGGATGGGTTATTTAAAGGGCCAAAAAGTTGGTAGCCCTTGTTGCTCCATTAAACAAGGTTACATGACTAAAGTGACATTTCGTGACACTTCCTATGATTGTGATAGTTCTGAGAAACCTATGATATTCTTCATAGAAATTCCAGTTGATGAAAACCCTCACTTGATTATGATTACCAGAACCCGTGTAGTCTTCAAACCTAGATTTCTCAGGTCCAGGTCTCTTCATCTCCATCTCAATTTCTCCTCTCCCTCATCCGGAAGTTTTGCTAGCGAGAGCCAGACGGACTTAGCTACATTTCCTATAGCTCTTGTTGATAATGCGCGCTCATACAGCAAACGTTCATTTGAACGAAATGCATCTGCGCTGACAAGTGATACAACCAATGGTTTTCGGCGCGTTGCAACGTCAAATGGAGCCTCATCCCCCTAGTAACCTGGGAAGATTAAAGTGAAAGGTGTAAGAATCGTACGGGTACTTGAACAGTTGTCCGAATTCATGCAATTCCTAGGTTTAGGTCTCTCGATCTAAGTCTTTCCCTTTGATTACTCTTTCTTTATCCAGAACCTATTCACAGGAATAGCAATTTATCTGGGCGTGGAAAACTGCTGGATCCCAGATATCCCTCAGGTCTAGGTCTCTTTCTTTTCGAAGAAGTCTTATTACTACGAATGCTGGATC